GAGTTTCAAAGACATGTTGGATTTTATTACATATTAATTACTTTTACAATATAAACATCATTTGAGCTAATGACTTTCACATAACCTTGCAACCAAAATAATTACTATTTATCATGTAAACAAGCTCAGTGAGTCATCTGCTGCTCTTTTGACGTGGGCACGTGACCTTAATCCCTCAGGACTCCACCTTGCCCTGCGCAAAAGATACTGAATGAACGTGAGTATGCTTGAGTAATATATGTAAGCAAAGTACTGAAAGCAGCCTGTTTCTCATTGAAAGCAGTGAGAAAAATGGAGAAGCCTGATCGATATTGCATGTGAGATCCTATTCTCTGATAGGATAAGGGTGGCTGCTAGTTTCTAATTCTCTCACTGATGTTGGATGCTGCTTCAGTAAAGTCTGAGGGAAGCCTGTCTTGAGAGCCAAGTTCTGTGAGACTCTGAAGAAATGGGTGCCTCAGAATTTGGGTTCACCCTGGCCTTAAAGTCAATGCTAAGAATCAAGCTGTTTCTTTATTCACAACAGTAATGTGGCTTAAAAGCACTGCAACAGGGTTTTTCTGTATCAATGGCAGTAATCATTTCAGGCTTTTTCTTCATCCTTTCCATGTGATGAATGTCACTGGCTTATTTTCATATGTCAACCCATCCTTGCCTTCTAAGCACCTTCTACCTGACCACCCTTCCCGTCTGACTATAATTCACGCATCCATCATAAGGTGAATCATTTCTCAACCCATGAATCTTTCAGGACCTCAGAAGCTCAGTGCTTAAAATCTGCAGTTTTCTTGGGAAAAAGCTGAGTGAAGAAGATGTGGATGTTGTTGTGCGACAAGCTACATTTCAGAACATGAGATCTGACCCACGAGCAAATTATGACAATATCATAAAAAAAGAAATTGGGACAAGAAATGATGAGGGAAATTTTCTGCGCAAAGGTGATACTTAGTAGTTTGTAGTCACAAAAAAATTCACTGTTTCCTGGGATCTTTGTCCTTAGGAGAAATAATTTGTGCTTCCAATATGTTTCTCCAGGTGATGATGATATTTGGAATCTAGAGAGCATTAAGTATCTTAGCTGAATGTTATCCTGAAGAGTTTCTCAGAAAATTTAATAGTACTTTAGTATAAACCTGACAATTTGATGTATTTCATCAATATGACTTTCCTTCCCCAAAATCCGGGACTCAGGTCATTTTAAACATGTCAGTAGTCTTGTTCTTGGATATGGATATTGTAGAAGAGAAGATTCTAATTCAGTTTTTGTTTTGGTTTGTTCTGTTGTTTTTTCTTCTTGGTTTGTTTTGTTCTGTTTTCCATGAGACAGAGTTTCACAATATGGTCCAGGTAGCCAGTAGTTCACTGTGTAGCCAAGTGTGCCTTAAATTCATATTCCTCCTACCTATACCATCGCCTTCCTGAGTGCTAGGATTAGAAACCTGAGGCACTATGCATAGCCCAGACAAGAACAATTTTTATTCTTTATTTTTTCTAGGATAGTGTACAAGTAAACTTATGTGTTTATTCAGGGAACAGAAAATTTGAACTACTGTTTCTTCATGTGTGAGATTTGTTCATCACATAAATTAGAGTGATATTATAGCAACCTTATATGATATTAATTCAATAATATAAAAGGCAATATATTTTTATTATAATCTCATTACATGCCAGAAGTATTTAAAAATTAATGTTTTCAGCTGGGTGTGGTAGTACACACCTTTAACCCCAGCACTTGGGAGACAGGGGAAGGCAGATCTCTTTGAGATCAAGGCCAATCTGGGCTGTTTAGCAAGTTCTGGTCTGCCTGGCCCTTCAATGCGATACTCTCTCAAAAAAGAAAAAAAGGAATTAATATTTTCACGTCTGGAGAGAAGGCATAGGGTTAAGAGCACTGGCTGTTCTTGCAGAAGACTCATGTTCCCATTCCAGCACCCACATGGTGGCTCAGAACCCTCTCTAACTTCAGTAAGAGGATTTAATGCCTTCTTTTGGCCTCCATAAGCACTGCATGTATGTGGTGCACTTACATATATACAAGCAAAACATTCATACACATAAGATAATAAAAATAAATTATAAAAAAGAATGAGCATTTTCCTCTTGGTAGTCTTTCATGTTAAAATTTATTTATTATTTTTATTTTATGTGTATTAATGTTTTGTCTGCATGTGTGTAAGTTCACCCATGTCATACAATGCCCACAGAGGTCAGAAGAGGGCATTGGATTCCCCTGGAAATGGAGTTACAGACAGTTACTAGCCACCATGTGGATGCTGGGAATCAAACCCAGGATTTCTGCAAGAGTAGCCAATGCTCTTAACCACTGAGTCGTTTCTCCAGCCCCTTATGCTTACATTTTTAATATAGTTATTTAAGATACAACATCTGAACAATGAACTATTTTATTCATTTTTAATTTTTTTATTTACAACTTAACATTATTATGATCATCAACTGAAGTGTATAATAATATCTTACTGAATTTTTTTCTTAAAAAAATCTTAATGAGTTTATTGGGCTTGCTATAAAGGGTTGGGGTTTATTTACAGAAGTGTGGGTGCCCCCCACTTACTGCTGCACTGGAAAGTCTACACTCAAATATAGATCCTGTGACTTCACAAAATGGTGAGAGAGGTGCTTCCTGGCCTTCTTGGCTTATATATTCTTAGCCCCTCTCCCACACGCAGCTAAGGTCAACTGATTGGGTGGGAAGGGTAACTGACTCCCCCTCGACTCCTTGATGACTGTGGGTAGGAGGTTGACTGTAGCTTGCCGGTATAGCCTTACTGAAATTTTTCTAGATTTTCTATTTTACAAAAATTATTTTTTTTCTCTCTTCTGGCATTTAACATCAACTCTTATATTTCAGTCCTCAACAAGATCAAATACTAGAAATTCTCATACCCATAGGAGCTTGCTATCTGTTCTAAATGCAAATGATAATTTTATATCATCATCTCTGACCCTTAAAGATGACAAATTACCATTTTCATTTTAAATGCTGGAATGATTGTTTCAAACTCTTGTCAAGCAAAATGATAATGTTAGCATTTCTATCACCTTATGTGACTCTGACTTTTGTTAAAAACTTTGGATTTCAAGCCAGGTATGGTGGTGCATGTCTTTAATCCCAATACTTGGGAGGCAGAGGCAGGTGGATCTCTGTGAGTTCAAGGCCAGCCTGGTCTGTGTATCGAGTTCCAGGCCAGAGGGGGATATAGGGAAACCCTGTCTCAAAAAAACCAAAAAAAAAAAAAAAAATCGCCAAACAAACAACCTTTGTATCTCATATTTCTATTTAAAAATGAAAAAAACCACATATCTCATAAAGTTGTATATGGATGTTGATTGCTTAATATAATAATTGACACGTGATAATCATGTTCTTTTAAAATTCTAATATATCTTTTAAGGTTGTTTATCTTCCTAAAGATTTGGTTATGATTGGGTAATAGTATTTATGATTTACTATGTTACTAAATTCAAGTTTCTTTTCCTATTCAGTGCTCTGTAAGGAAAAGTGAGGTATCAAACGAACCCTAGAGAGACATCAGTGATATTTACTGTAGGTTGTAGAAGAGAGAAAGTGGGTTGTGTGACCTTTGCCCTGACAGTTTCATTACTCACCTAGGTTCTGTTCCTCTGCATTTCCCATTAGGTACCATTGGAGACTGGAAACATCATTTAACTGTTGAGCAGAATGAAAGATTTGACAAGATATTCCAGGAGAACATGAAAAACATTTCCTTGAAGTTCATATGGGATATAAATGAGGAGTAGACTATTAATTACAGAGTTAAATAATCAAAAAAATCAACTAACCAGAGGGCATACTTTAATATTGATATTAATTTCTCTCATTTAATAATTCTATATGTATGCCTGATTACAAGGCATAATTCATGAACAAAATGAGTGACTTAAGCTTAGATTATTTGCCATGACATTAATTTCAAAAATCAAACTGTTTTTGTAGCTGCTTGCATTGGTATTCCCCCATAAAAATAGTATGACGGGGCTGGAGAGTGGGCTCAGCAGTTAAGAGCATTGGTTGTTCTTGCAGAGTGCCCCAGGTTTGATTCCCACCACCCACATAATGGCTAACAATCATCTGTAACTCCAGTTCCAGGAGAATCCAATGCCCTCTTCCGACCTCTATGGGCATTACACAATTCAAATGCACTTACATACATGCAGGAAATACAGTCATACACATGAAAATAAATAAATAAATAAATAAATACTTTAAAAAATGGTATGATAGAAAGTATAAAACATGGTTTATAGATACCTTCAGAGGGTATTCTATAGTTCAGATTTTTACCTGCAATTAATTTTAGGATCAAATAAATATTAAAAATCTTTTTATCCTTGTAATTGAATTGTAATCTACTGTCTTCAAAATCAATGTGATTGTTAGACTGTGCTATTTTGTGAAATAAACAGAAATGTCATATATAGACATATCCTTCTTCAGTATGCATTAAAGATGAATAAATCAAAAATGAATTAAATATATACTGGTTCAATCATTAAGTATTGAGATGAAAACAGTTTTGTCTGTAACAGTATCACTCATTATACCTACGATACAAATTTAATAGTTAAATATTTGACATAAATATTTATCAAATCACTTAAATAACTAGAAAAAGAGTAGGTGAATTTATAATTTTCAAGTGGAGAAAAACTTTTAAGTTGTAAAAGCAATGGAAGACAGTCTGTGGTAAATATCTAATCTAAGCCTAATTTAAGAAGAGAAAGATTGTTTTGATTCCTGGATTCAGAGGTCAGCTGGCTCCATTGTTTCATGGCACAGAGCGTTGAGATGGCAGGGCATAGCTGCTCATCTCACGATTACCAAAGACCAGAAGAGTCTTGAAGAGTATGACTCAGCACCCTACTTCCTGCACCCAAGACTTACCTCCTTAACATTCTCACTACCTCCTAAAAATGTCATCAAATTATGAATCCATCAATGGGTTGATCCATTCATGAAGTCAGAGCCTTCATGATCCAGTAACAAAACCCCACCTGAAGACACTGCTTGTGTTAGAGATTGAGTTTGTAATCCATGAGCCTTCAGTGAGACCCTTCATATCCAAACCATAACATTATGTATTAATTTCAGCTAAACTGGGGAACATGTGAATGTACAAACAATAATATCCAGAAGAAGAAAGACAGACATTTATTACATGTTCCTTTATGTGAAAATCAAAAACAGGTGAAACTAATCTATGGTTCTAGAAGTTGGGAGAGAGGTTGCTTTCACTTAGTAGCATTGGACAGACAAGAGGAACCTATAGTATTAGAAATATTTTTTGACTTGATCTTAATGCTGATAATTTGTGAATATTCATCTGGTCGTTGCATGCTTTCTATGCTTTTTCTGTATTTTGTTATACTTCTGTAAAACTTACATAATAGCTCATAAATAGGAAAACTGCTTGAAACGATTTTGGAGCCACTGAATGGAAAAACATTACTTCATATTTAGATAAAGATAAAACCCAGGGACTATTCATTATTGAAGACAGTGTAGTCAAGTAACCTTCTCCATATACTTATGTGGGTGTAAGAATCACTCTAATACTTCTGTACAGG